GGCATTGATCGGCGGTCAACGCCGGTCTCCGGCATTGATTTTGTTTTTTTGAAATTTTTTGTAGAAAAAAAAAACGGTTTTTTTTTTCGTCGCTAACTAGTGATAGTAATATAACTGTTGTTGATAGTAAAATTACTGTAAACACAATAATATTTATGTCAACTGCATCAATATTAATTTTTTTTGACTTTTTTTTATTTCATTTGTTGACCAGTCAACGTATTAATGTTATTTTCTACTATTGTAATATGACTGTGGTTGGCGGTAAAATTAATGTAAACACAATAATATATATTACTGTGGTTGACACTAATATTACTGTCAACCTCAACAATATTATTTTTTTGTCTTTTTATTAAGTTTGCCTTTGTTGACCGTTCAACATAATAATATTACTGTATTGCACAATAATTTATTATGTAACATAGTGATTTTGTTGTGCTAATATTACTGTGATAGATAGTAATATGACTATGTTTTAAACAGTAATATAGTTAATATTACTGTCAACCAATATAAAAAGACATCATGAAAAGTAAAGCATAAAGAAAAAAAAAAAAAGTCAACCCTTGAGACCGGCGGCGACTTTCAAAATTGGAGTGAAAATTGAGTAAGGGGTCAAAATTGAATAATTAGTGAAATTTGGAATCAAATAGAGGTTAAATTGGGATAAATTGATGAAATTGAAGCATATTAAAATGAGATGAATATTTTTGTGTATTGCACATCTCGGAATTTTGTCGACTTTTTTATAAATTTTTTTTAAAACTAGTTATGTTTATGATTAAGCAGTTAATGATGAACTTTTTGTAGTAGAAATAAGTGGAGTAATAATAGATAGCTTTGCAATGTGCAAGAATTCATCATTCTCCAATGCAGCGAAATTGAGTTTTCTTTCTTGAGTATTATGCATTAATCAGTTCGTAAGAATCATTCCGGCCCACAATGCAAAATGTAAGAAAACATGCTCAAGTGCTGATAGGATACTCTTGATCTCCAACAACCAAATATTGAACTCCAGATCCAATCACCATTGTTCCATCTTCACTAGCTCTTGCAAAGTGCTGACATGGATTTATTTCAAATTTGACATTAGTCTTCTCCTTTGCATTCAATCTCACCGTCTGAAACCCGACCAACTGTTTCATGGGACGACTCCCGTTACCAGCTTCATCGTGCCTTACGAATATCAGAACCGAGTGCTTACCGGCCATACTCCCTTCATTCTCAACACTAACAATAGCTGAAAACTTCGCATTTTCACATGATTTCGAACCAACATCCGAAACTAAAATATAGTTCTTGAAATCGAGCTTACTTTGACCGACAGAAACAAACTTGTAAGAATATTTTGAGTAGCTGAGACCATAGCCAAATTCATAAACTTTCTCGCCTTGGTAAAATCTGTAAGTACGTCCTGGATATCCAGACGAAGGATCGGGCCTCATTCTCATATCAGTCATTGGTACTTTGATGAAATCCCTTGGATACCAAGTCAATGGAAGCCTTCCTCCTGAATACAAACATTAATTAAATTATTCTATACTAATATATAAGTAGGGTAAATTACAACCCCTCAACTATGAATCTTCTTAGACGTCCACCCTTGCGGTTTCAAATTTAGTGGAATTTTGTAGATTATATGGAATTTTCTCAATTTTGTACCCGTTTATCCCATTCGAGCTCCACATTTTGAAGCTAGATGATCATAAGATGTGTTTTGGCTTGTATATATATCTGATTGTGGTGCATCAGAAATTGCATTTTTGCACAAAACGAGTACAAACTAGAGAACATTCCACGAAATCTAGATGATTATGTTGAATTTGACACCATAAGGGCGAAGATGTAAGAAAATTCATACTTGAAGGGTAGATATAATTATCCAAACAAGAGAGGTATTTTCGTAATTTGACCATACCTCAGGGGTGGTTGTAATTTACCCTAATATATAAGTTTGACACATGGAAATTTTTGTTTAGGAAATGTACCTGGATTGTGGTCGCCAAATATGATCTCTGCAATTGCTTTCCCCCCGGCTTCACCGGGATATCCGGCCCAAAGAATACTTCCAATCTTGGGATTATTTTTCGCGAATGAAATATCAAGTGGACCTCCACAGAGCAATAATAACACAACGGGCTTTTTAGCAGCCTCGGAAACGCTCGTGATAAAACTTTGTTGCTCGCCCGGAAGTACCAATTCTTCTCTGTCACGATCTTCACTCTCTTCCTCTTGATTGAGTCCCATTACTAAAACGACGTAATCTGCCGATTTCGCAATTTTCACAGCTTTGCTTTTGGCATTTAACGTGCAATTGATGTTTTCACAACCCTCATGGAATTTTATTTTCTCGATATAATCCGTTAGTCCTTGTAGCGGAGTAAGGGTTTTGCAAGGTGGCCCCGCGTAGTTTCCTACGAGTGTTTTCGAGACGTTGGCATTAGGGCCTATTACCGCAAGAGATTTCGTTTGGGACTTAGATAGTGGAAGTAGGTTTGCAGAGTTCTTTAAAAGGACAATGCCATCACGAGCAACTTCGAGTGCCAAATCTTGATGCTCGGGGGTACATATGTCTTTACGGCTAAGATCGCCGTACGGAAGTTGTCTAGGATTGCCGCTGAAAAGTCCTAATCTCATTCTAACAGAGAAGAGGTTGTAAAGGGCTCTGTCTATATCAGATTCCGACACTTTCCCCTTTTCGACTGCTGATTTTGTGTGATTCGCCAAATAGTCGCCGCAATTAACATCCATGCCTGTGTGTTTCGATCAATATTATATTATTATTATTAAATAAATTTTAGAAAGCTAATTTTATAGAAAAAAAATCTTGATATGTTACCGGCTTTAAGCACATCTGCCACGGCGTCTTCATGCGATTTCGAATATTTTTGCTTCTCATATAGAAGCGAGACTGCGTCACAATCCGAAGTGATATATCTGTTTATTTAAAACGACATTAGACAACATGAAAATTTAAACGAACAAAAATGATAATATTTTCAAGTTACTAAAAAAATAATTATACCCTTGGAATCCCCATTCGCCACGAGCGGTTTTCGTTAATAGATCGTAATCGGCACAATTAGGAACACCGTTTACAAGATTATAAGCACACATAATCCCGCTCGCTCGCCCTTGTTCCACACAACTCTTGAAAGGTGGCTGATATGTATCTGCCATATCCTGCTTTGTAACCTGTAACCAAAAAAAAAATAACAAAAGAAAAAACACCAAATTTTTCTTTTACAATTAATTCTACAATGTAGACATACTATATATATATTAATCAAGAAGGTTTTGATTAAATGTTGCGTACATGAGCATCAAACGTAAAGCGATCGACTCCTTTCCAGTGATCCAAATCGTAAGCGGTGAGATGTTTGCAGCATGCAGAGACTTGAAGACGTCCGTCTTTGAGGTCACCCCCTTCGAAACTGTCGCGTTGGATTCCACGAGCAAACGAGACGGCATAT